TTAGTTTTTAATACAAGAAATCAGTGTTTGAATGTTATGAATCTGTAGCTATGACCTTTTGGTCTGCTATAACATGCTCAGGGATTCCCAAGACTTGTTTTCTCATATTTATAGGGATTAACAAACTTTCCCAAGTTCTTATCTCTTCTGTCATTTGATTTGACTCACTTGTTTCTTAACAAACTTTTAGCCATTTTCAACTGCTAAAATAACTAACTGACCTTACAGATGTTTTAACTAGATGAATCAGTTGTAGCTGGCCAGTTAAATTTGATAGATTTGACATCTTAACTGTCTGTCCTGTGGCTGTGTGTTCAGTTTTTCACTGGTTGTTAAAGTGATTGATCCTGGAGGATTGTTTGCTACTGGAAATCTAAGGATTTTCCTCATCAATGTCAATAATAAGGATCCTACTCTTGTCTGCAGTTTATTCAATATTGAAAACGGTGTTTTGAGTGTTGCCTCTATAAACTCAACTCTGCACAAAAATGTCAACATCACACTGGATGAAGAGATTCCAGTTGGGAAGATGGTTGGAAGATGTCAGGCAACTGATGAAGATAACCTGGGAGATTTAACCTTTGGACTAGATACAGGGAACAGTTACTTTGCAGTCGACAAAGAAAAGGGGACTGTGGTTACTACTACCCGTCTTGATGTGGGGAAAGCTGGGTTTGCAAGTTCTCAGGCCTTCTCCATTAAGGCTTGTGATGGTGACCAGAGGTGTGCAGCAATTCTAGTGACTGCCTATATTCATGGCATTAATGACAACTCCCCTTTCTGTGACCGATATCTGATTAGGTACACAGGCAAGGATGTGATTACAAAAGGCACAGTAGTTGCAAAGCTCTTGTGTCATGACCTTGACAAACCACGCACTGCAATTCATTACGTTCCGACCTCAGGCCCTGTTGGTTCTGGACAACTATTTGAACAAGTACCAGATGCTGAAAACTGCATTCAGGTTTCCAAAGAGCTGGATTATGAGAACGCAGAGGTGGTTGCAGCAGGACACATCTATGAAATGATGATTTCTGTGTTTGATGACTTACTTCCCTCTCATACAGTGACTGTGACAATCATTGTGGACATTGCTCCTGACAACGAATTCAGTCCCAAATTTCAAGCTGCACATTATTCATTTTCAGTTCCAGAAACATCCGGAGGTCACTGTTGACATCGAAGATGAGAACGATGAAGCACCTGCCTGCACACCCTATCTATATGAAGCAGTCATCTCTGACAATGTGGTTGCTGGGACAAATGTCAATGGCCTGAAACTAAAGTGTCATGACAGAGATTCACAAGATTTTGAAATGTGCTTTGAAATAGTTTCTGCAAAGAAAATGTCTGACCATTGTGTATACAGCTATGAACACATACAAATCCAGTGACTGGTATGTTCCTTTCATCTTCACTCTGATGGTTATTTTCTTCGTTGGACTGGTTTCCTGGATATGTTTTTTGCTTTGGAGATTTGGAAACGTTGTGGAGTGTTCTCAGAAAATGGCCAAGGAAGTCTCCAAGTCCAAACCCAAAGGAATGAAGTATGTTACAGGAGATAGAAATCAAAAAGAACAAAAAGTTTTCACAGGAACCAGAAGTAAAAATCTAGAAGTATTAACAGAAGCCACTGTGTATGAGACTATCTTTGATGGAGAAGCCGTTGATCCAGTCTCTGGTAATGTGTATGAATATAACAGCAGAACGGGTGCAAGGAAATGGAAGAGGCTCCCTCAGCACAAGGAAGAGTCCTTTGAGAACCTACAGGCCCATCCCTTGGAGGAATCAACAGTCTTAAAAGTTCCTGTGTATCAATAGTGCCTCTGGATGTTGGCATGTGGGGCATGTGTGTGTGTGTGTGTGTGTGTGTGTGTGTGTGTGTGTGTGTGTGT